TTCTTCCTTAACTTTTACTCTTTTTCTTTTCTTTTTACTTTTTTTCCTATTTACTTTTTAGTTATTTCTCAAGTGCTCCACTCTCTTTAGCATTTTAAATTTTTTACAACACGCTTTTTTTGAAATAATTTTTCCCTTAATTTATTTGGGTTAAAATAATTTCTTTAAAATTATGTTTTTACTTGATTTTTTACTTTTATTTTTCCTAGAAGCTTCTCTACAGCTTAATTCTTTTTCCTATTTCTAATTTCTATTCTCTAATCTCTAATTTTAAATTTCTATATCTAATTCCTAATCTCTAAATTTTAATTTTTAATGTCTAACATACATAAAATAGGCGAGGAAGGTTTTTTCTTCATACACCGGAAGAGACTATGTGTTGGCCTTTTTCTTTTTTTTTTTTTAACTCCTTTTCTTTTCTTTTCCCTTTTTCTTTTGATTTTTTTTTTCCTATTAGCTTTGTCATTTTTTCTCAAGTGTTCCGTGCTCTTAACCATTTAAACTTTTTTACAATATGTTTTTTTTAAATACAATTCTTTTTTCATCTATTTGCTTTTTAGTTTTTTCTTAAGTACTCTGTGCTTCTAATAAGAATTTTAACTTTTTCACAACATGCTTTTTTGAAATGCCCCTTTTCCTAATTTTTTGTATTAAAATAATTTCTTTTAAATATGTCTTTATTTAATTTTTTTATCTTGTCTTTTTTTAAACTCCTCCATAACTTAATTCTTTTTTCTATCTATTATCTAATATATATATATATATATAAAGAGTCAAATCTTCTTTTAGACTTGACTGAGGAGGTCATGTATTTACATCATTTTTTTTTTAACTTTTCATCTTTTCTAATTTTTCTTTTATTATATTTTTTTTCAAAAAAAAAATTCTTCTTTTCTTTTTCCTATTGTCTTTTTTATTTTTCTTTAATATTTTTTAGCAGTTCTTTTTTTTTTATTACAACATCTTTCCTTGAAATACCTCCCTTTTTACTTTCTTTTAACTAAGGATAAATTTTATTTTTACCCAATGAATTTTGGTTTCCTTATCATTTTGCCCCTTTAACTTTGAAAATTGGTATGCATATCCCCTTAACTTTGAAACGTTATTAACTTTGCCCCTTCTATTAATTTCATTAATAGATTTGACGACGTGGTAATTATTGAAGGGATAGTTTAATAAATTATTTTCATAAATGCCCTATGAAGTATCACCATATTTAAAAATTCCCTATGATCTCTTAAAAAAGATCAAAATGCCCTGTAATCTATAAAAAATAATAAAATAACATGGCATGCCATTAAAAATTAATTAAACATATTAAATTTAAATTAAATCAAGAAAAGTGATTAAATATTTAAAAATAATATAAAATAATTGAATTCAAAAGTTGAAAAATTAAATATATCAATTTTTAAAAAATCAAAATAATAAAAGAGGAAAATTTTTCAAAATTAAAATATTGACAAAGAGGGAGTAGGTTTTTCAAAAAAAGTTTTCTCTTTACTTTTGGGTTTTTTATTTTTAAAAAATATTTGATTTATTAATTTTTGAATTTCTTTAAAGTAAAATGTTTTATATTCTTTTATTATTTTTAATATTTAATCACTTTCATTGATTTCATTAAAATTTAATATGTGTAATTAATTTTTAATGGCATCAATAAAATTGTTAGTTTATTGTGTTTTTTTTGTATAAATTAAGGGCATTTTAATATGTTTTCATACGTTAAGAGACATTTTTAAATAAGGTACATATTTCAAGGGCATTTATGAAAATAGTTTGGCCACATCATCAAATATGTTAATAAACTTAACATAAGGGGTAAAGTTAATAACGTTTCAAAGTTCAGGGGGTGTATAGACTAATTTTCATAGTTCGGGAGGTAAAGTGACAAGAGACTAAAATTTGAGGTGCAAAAATAAAATTTATCCTCTAATTAAAATAATTCATTTTAAAATGTCCCTCCTTAAATTTTTTTTAAATATATTCTCCTATATAACCTCAATTCTTTTTTCTTTTCCTCTTTTTTTTAATTTTTTTTAATTTTTTTTCTTTTCTTTTTGTCTATTGTCTTTTTGTTTTCTTTTTCCCCAATATTTTTTGCCAGTTCAATTTTTTTAACAATTTCCTTCTTTGAAATAGCTTCTTTTTCTCATGTTCTTTCAATTAAAATAACTCTTTTTAACCATGTCCCTACGTAAGTTTTTTAATTTTAATAAAAAAATCCTGTACAATTTTTTTTTTAGCAGTGTTATTTTTGAAATACTTTGTTTTTCTTGTTAGTCCAATTAATGAACTTGACTTTTAAGGACGTCACGTGTTAATTTAATGCGGGATCAAATTTGAAAAGTGATGCGTCTATTGACATCTTTGTTTCTACTTTCCACACAACTCTTTTTAGTGTTATTAAAATACCCATTAATGAAATTACTTTTAAGGACAATAATATTTTAAGAAAATACTCATTACACATCCAATCATTAAAAAAATATATTGCATTCTAAAATTTACTGTGTCCTACTTTTTCAAAAGAATATGGATGAATTCTAACAAAAAAAAAAAAAAAAAAAATAGCCTCCCCACAAAAAAGGTACGAGGTTCAATTTTTCTAAAAAATTATTTCATTTGTTTTTTTTTTTTCAAAAACAAATGAAGGGAAAAATAGCAATCGGCAAAGCTCCACGATGCTGCAATTCCTTAAAGTAGTACTAACATTATTTTCAAGCAAAATGTTGGTATCTGAAAAAAGTGAAACATTGAATTTCTCAAAATAATAACAATAACAAAAAGGAGGAGGAGGGTACCTGAAAAAAGTGAAACATTGAATTTCTCAAAATAATAACAATAACAATAAGGAGGAAAAGGAGGAGGAGGTTCCTACATAAGAAAAGGGACACATTTGGATTTCTCAAAAAAGGGAAAAAAAAAAGAAGAAGGAGAATGTGATAGGAAATAAAACTGATAAAACATTTGTTTTAAAGAAGAGGTTATCTATTTGTTGGTACGTGAAAAAAGGATAAAAACTGTAGTTTAATTGAAGGAATGGAGTAATTTAGTTGTAGGAATTTTTTTAGAATTTTAAGAGAGGTGCAAGTAGAATGACGAGTTTAAGAATGTGTGTGAAAAGTAGAATATGAAGAAATTTAGGGCCCGTTTAGTTCGCTGATTCGAGTTTTTAATTCGAGTTGATATGTGATTTTATGTTAGAGCTTTTTACTGTAGCAAAAAAGTTAGATGTGATTGTTTGTGAGAGCTTTTTACTGTAGCAAAACTCAAATTCTAAACTCGAATCAGTGAAATGAACGAAGCCCTTGTAAGAGTTTTCTTGAAATTGTAAAAGATGTGTAATAAGTAGAATGAGAGATGATTTAAAAATATGTGTGTGAAAAGTTAAAAAAAAAAAAAAAGTGTCAATAGACGCACTATTTGCTAAATTATTCTCCACGCACCAGGTATTGAAGTTTCACGTGGCTCAAGTAATGAGTATTAAAGCGGCAGGTATTGAAGTTTTAGAGACAAATATACAACCTAATTCTAGGGCATTCATAACTAGTCGTATTTAAGATTTGCTGTGAAAAATCTGTACATATACTCACCATAATTTGCCCTTACTTGCAAGTTAAAGCGCTTTCACGTCCTTCAATTTGCATGATTTGGGGACAACTGATTGATATGAGAGTTCAAAGTCTAGGCAATTCTAGTGACAAAATCTTGAAAGGTGTACACCAAACAGTAACTGCAAGATCTGATGTTCTGCAGGACTTGGAAAGGAACAATTCAATTACGCTTGTAGTCTTTCAAGAACACGATTAATTTATGATGATACTCGAGTACTGCTGGTACGGTATCCGCAAAAATTGAAATAAAATTATAGAATCTAAAGGATAATTAGTTTGAGAATCCAAAACGTGGGAACAAATTTTGAAGACAAAAAACGAAAATAATGCACTAATTAATTAGAGATATGATTATGTAATACTCCTTGAAAAAACTGAATGGCAGCTGCCTAATTTATTAGAAACGGTTGGTTTGGAGTTGGTGTAGCTTAGCCATAAATATAATTTCACATCTGCCACATTATAGAGCTGTTCAAATTCTGGTTAAATTTCAATTTGGCCCCCAATAAGAAGGGGCACGTGACAATTCCATTCATATTTTTTAACTGTCAACAATTAGACTTATTTATGTAACATATTTTGAAATAATTTAAGCAGTCAATTGACAACTTTTCAGTTGAGGAACTGAATTGCCAACAGCGTAAGAAAGCCAAACCTCATACATATTGACAAACGGCCATATATCAAGTCTCGCAACAGACATAGAGTAGAGCTTTCATGAATAAAAATGTCACCCCAAGAAACCTCATCACAAGACCACCATGTGGCCGTATTTCCTTTCCCATTCTGCAGCCACCCAATAAGCCTACTCAATCTCCTCTTAAAACTCGCCCTTACATCTTCAAATGTACAGTTTTCCTTCTTAACAACTCCAACCTCCATGACTTCTCTCCTTAAACTCACCTCAGAAGTGGTCCTCAACCTCCCAGACAACGTCAAACCCTATGGCGTTGTCGGAGACGGCGTTCCTCCGGGCCACGCGCCATCCGAAGATCCCACGGAGGCGACCGAGCTCTTCCTCAAGGCCTCTCGGGCAAACTTCAAGTATGCGATCGAATTCGTGGTGGCAAAGACGGGGACAAAGATCACCTTCTTGCTCGTTGACGCGCTGTTAAGCGTGTTTGTCGCCGACCTCGCAGAAGAACTAAACGTCCGGTGGGTCCCGGTCTGGGCGGCTTCTCCGTGCGCGCTTTTGGCTTACGTCCATGCCGGCCTCATTTGCGAACACTGGGCGGCCGATCATTAAGAAAAAGATTTTGCCCTAGATTTTGTTCCGGGATTGTCCAACATGCAAATATCGGACTTTTGGCCAAAAGAGATATTTGTCTCAGGTGATTCACAACAGGGATGGGACGAGTTTTATCACAAGCTTACGCTGTAGTAATGAATTCCTACCGGGAGATAAACCCTCCAGCTCTAAATTCCGACTTCGAATCTAGGTTTCGGAGCGTGTTCAACGTGGGATTTCCGACAGTTTTGTCGCCGTTGCCGCCGACAGATACCGATCCGACGGGCTGCATGGCATGGCTGGACGAGAGGGATTCTAGGTCAGTTGTATACATTGGCTTTGGAACCGAGTTTTCGCCGCCTAATGATGAGATAATAGCAGTGGTGGAGGCATTGGAAGAGACTAAACTCCCTTTCCTTTGGTCTCTAAACGACAACCTGAGGAATGTCATTTTGCCAAAGGGGTTTGTTGAGACAAGAGAGCGGGGGAAAGTTGTGCCTTGGACGCCCCAGAGACAAGTACTGGCGCATGATTCGGTACGGGTGTTTGTGACGCTCTGCGGCTACAATTCGACGGCGGAGAGCGCCGCGAACGGCGTGCCGATGATCTGCAGGCCTCTGTGGGCATTTCATGAATGCGAAGATGGTGGAGAAAGTGTGGAGGATTGGAGTGAGAGTTGAAGGTGGGATTTTCACGATGAGTGGGTTGGTGGAAGCTTTGGAGGTTATTTCTGGACAAGGAGAGAAGATGATGGAACGTGCTAGTGAGTTGAAAGAGGTTATGGTTGAGGCTTCTGGTGCCATGGCAGTGCCACGAACGATCTAAGATCAATGGCAGAATTGTTAGTATCTGTTAATTCTTAGTTTATAAATATACGTGTTGTTCTTGTCACTTAATTATATGCAAATTATCACTTAGTGAAATTCTTAAGTCTTATGTCCAAGCAAATGTACCGTCCACTGTTTACAAAAAGAGAAATTTTGAGAAATATTGCCAACAGGGCCGGCTCAAGAGTATAGGGGACCTTAGGCGAGAATTTCATATAGGCCTTGTGATATAAAATTCCAATTTATAGAAAATTATTCATTTTAAAGTTTTTCCTATATATAAAAAAAAAATCATGTCTTTTGCTTGTAAAACTTTGTTTATTTCAAAATTTTCTTCGGATTACGCATTGCTTTAAAAGTAAAAACAAAAATTGTAGATTTATGAGGTGAGAAATAACCATTATTAATATTAACATAAACATTTATGTTTTTCTTTTTATTTTGCTAAAAAAATCCATTAATGCTTGATTTCAAGATACATAAAACTAACTTTATTATGTGTCAGTGTGTAAATGCACATCTTTTGCAATTTGGCCTTTGGGATACACGTGTATTGGAGGCCTCAGCTTTGAAAAATGAATGGAGGCTTTTTTATGGATATTTATGTAGACTTGTATATATTCATTATGTGGTGAAGATGGGGCCTTGATGGCTCCTTAGGGAACTGCCTAAGTTGCCTACCCCTTCACCGGGCACTGAATGCCAAAATAAAATGAAAATTCAATTTTGGATTTTTGCCGCTGATATTGGAATTCTGGATTTTATCATACAAAAATTACTAAACATTCAATAAAACATGTTATAAATCCAACTCGTTATAATTTTCTTTTGATGGGATAAATCCCTCATAATATTGAAGTTGCGGCATTATAAAATAAAAAACTTTTAAGGCACCTAAATTTCTTAAATCATAAATATATGAAAAAAGGTTGACAAGCACGAGTCCAAAGCATCATTCCTCCTCTTTTTAAGCCAGTATTTGATTATTGATTTTTTGTTCAGTCCGCTTGAAGGCTTTCGATTTTGATAAGATTCCTCATCTGATAGATCTGTCCAAAATTAGCTATTCTTCCTTACGTAGCATTCAATTGATAAATTGTAATGATTTTGAAAAGACTAGTAAGACTTGTAACCTCCAAAATTAAAACCATCAAAACTCTTAGCATGCACTGGAGGGCTAACATTAATTCGATGGTGAAATCTATAGGTGTTCCAAAAATGATGGCTATCAGGAACGTTAAGGCCTCGTTTAGTAAGAGGGGTGGAATTAAAGGAGCGTTTGGTATGTAGTAATTTTAAGAACGAGAATGAGAATTTGTAATATTATCATGTTTTGTACAAGAATTATAATTTTTAGATTTTCAGAAAAGTGATTACTATAGGATTCACTTTCTCACATTTTGAGATAATTTGAATACCACCCAATATGGTGTTATTCAAATTCCTAGAAATCTCAAAATCATGGGAATCTTATTATTTTTTTTTTTATTAATAATAATAGTAATATTATTATTATTATTATTATGGATCTTCTTCCATGCGAACAACTAAATACAGTAATGTAATATTCCTGGAAATTTGAAAAAGATTTCTATATGGAACCAAATGTAATAATGTATTATTCCTAGGAATCATATTACCTTCTATCACTTTCCTAGGAATATGATTCCTACTGATTCCTGCATGCCGAACACCCCCTAAGAAGGATGAAGAGAGTTAAAGAGATAGAGAATATGAAGGATGAAAGAGAATTATGGTAATCTTTTATATTGTGTGATATGAATGAGTACTTGAAAAGATGGATAATAGTTGTTTGTTCAATTACTATATTGTTCATTTCATTATTTAGTAATAATTTCTTGAAAAAATTGTAACATATAACCCATTTTGTTAGACCATTTGTAGTAAATAGCATAACTTAAAATAGTAAAAATAAATAGCATAAAATATATGGTGTTTCTATTTTACCCATATGTAATTTTTATGTGGTAAATATTTACCACAGTAAATGCTTTATTTACCAAAAGTTAATTTTTAAAAATTATATATTGACCCTTAATTTTTTTAATTATATTTTTACACCTTAAAACTTTTTTAAAATTATATTTTGATTCTTCAAGTTTTAAAAACTTATATTTTGACCCCCAAATTTTGAAAAAACTGGACAACAATCGTATATTTGTCGCAAATAAAATAAAAAAGTGACATTGAGCGAAGCAATGAAAGAATTAAGTAGTGATCAAGGTCTTTTTAGATTAAAATAATCAGAGAAACTGAAGCTGATAACAGAGAGAAAAATGAAACATAAAGAAGGAAAATGCACTGGGAGATCATAGGGA